CTACAACGTCATTTTGACTAGTCATAATTCAGTTGCGGATATCTACAACGTCATTTTGACTAGTCATAATTCAGTTACAGATATCTACAACGTCATTTTGACTAGTCATAATTCAGTTGCGGATATCTATAACGTCATTTTGACTAGTCATAATTCAGATGCAGATATCTACAACGTCATTTTGACTAGTCATAATTCGAATTCAATATATCTACAACGTCATTCTGACTATCTGAAACTCAATTCAAGATATCTAGAAAGGACCATGTAGATATCTTCAATTGATGATAATTAAAGATATCTTGAACTTGAATTATGACTAGTCAAAATTAAATTGTAGATATCTCAAACTGGAATTACAGATATCCACAGTTCAGTTGCAGATATCCGCAATAACAATTGCAGATATCCGCAACTACATTGGAGATATCTATAATGACAAACCCCATACACATGAATGGCAAAAATAGTTTGAATCTTACGGCAATACCACGATGTGTTGTCCAAATAAGGGCATGTACGTCACATATACTAGCAGATGATGTGATTTCCCGTCGATGAGCAGGATGTACAGTATATATGGACCGTTTCATTGCTATTCTGTTGCTTGGGCAACAACTTTGGGCTCTGTTTACTTCCTGTCAGCTTCTGTATACATTCAAACAGGAAATACAAAGAGACCCATTTAGAATGTTTATGTTGTCCAGTTTGAAACGGTCTATATAGCCTATATAGTATACGTGTCACACGTCCGTAACACGACGCGTTGTTGCTTCAAGAGCTGACACTTTTGACCCCTGTGATCACATGACGTGTCTACGCACGCACGTCTGATTAGTATAGCCAGCTAGTTAGCATAGCGATGCTACTGCTCCTGGGTCGATCCGAAAAGTAGTTTCCCTGCACCATGTTGGAGGAATTTCTAATCACCGTCCAACATTTATTCATATTGCAGGCTAATGAACTGGGGTTGAGCGGACTGGTTGCCATGGCGACAAGTAATCAAAGACAATGCGTTCACCTGTGGATGTGACAGGGACTGATCATACACAGCTGGACTTGATTGCAGGGCACGAACTGAGAAAGGAGAGTGACAGTGACACTGACAGTTTGGCTCTGGGAAGCGGAGCTGCTGTAAAGTGCCCGACGAAGCCACCTTTATTGCATTCACGGCCAGGAGGGGGGCGAAGACAGCCAGCGTAGGTGGATAAGTTCCGGGGGTAGGGTGGAGGTTAGTTAAGGACTGGGGAATTAGGAGTGTCCTCCCGCTTTCCAGCTTTGTGTGTGCGGGCGTCTGTCACGCTGTGAGCCGCTTGGTGTTCCAGCGCTGGAACCTCCACTGCATACGGCCGGGTCAGACCAGCGCCACAAGCCGGCCAGTTGAGAGTTTGTTTTAAAGTATGACATCTTAAGTGTTTTTGTTATATTTGCAGTCCTGTCAGTTATAACTGAAAGCCGAGCGCGCTCAAAAACCTCGCTCCGTGCAGTGCTTTGTCTGTGGAGTGCACATCTTTAAAAAAATGTCTGACAGAAAATTAACCTGTTTTGTAATAAATTAGCCTACTTTTTGTGGACTTAAAACATTTTTCTCAGCGCATTATTGACGAGTTAAGCCAGCCGCCGCCTATAGAAAGTGGTTCTACACACAATAAAGCCTATAGTTTGGGAAAGTATAACACAGAGGTCCGCTGGTTTTAATCCGCCCGTACCCTATTACGCTATTAATTAATAATTAAAACTGAATGACTCAAATCCGTGGATATCACAGGTTGAGGTGGAGCAGGTCGCTGTTTAATGATAAATCCGTGGAGCTGTCCATGGTGCTGAATTAACACACCTCATTTTAATCCATCTCAGCCTGTGACCAGGAGGGTGAAACTCTCTACTCTGCAATGCATTCAAATAGTTTGTTACCTTTTAAAAATCTAATACTCCATGTAAATTATGGGGAAATATTTTCAGTCACAATGCTAACAGTCTATTCAGACTACCATATGCCGGAATCACTCTAAACGTTAAATAGACATACATTTACAGTTTACATTAAAAATATAACAATTTCATGAGACATTTTTTTCTTTGATATAAAGCTGCAAGTATTAGATGATCTGTCACACGCATTTTGGGACACTTCAGTGTCAGTTGCTCACTGTGAGTCTCAGCGCAGTAAAATGGGCTTTTTTCAGATGATCAATTTACTTGACTTATTTTTTCGATAGGCTATTATTTTTTTCGTTATTGTATAATAGTTTTCAGTTAATCAGGCAAGTTTATTCTATTGAAATTTATAATAAGTTTCGTATGATATGCGACATGAAAAAAAACTGCCGGCAGCGGCTGAATCTTCTTGTCAGGGCAGCATCCCTAGCAACGCTGGGCTACATAGCAACGGTCATTACACAGTAATATCAGACCTCTGAATGCCGCGACTGACCAATCAGAATACAGTGTAATATGTAAGGGATAATGTATAATGAGCCGGTGAATACTGGGAAAATAACTCCCTTCAGGGGAATAGAACCCCGACGCGCAGTATATATAGCCTATATATATACGTGTCACACGTCCGTAACACGACGCGTTGTTGCTTCGAGCTGACACTTTTGACCCCTGCGATCACATGACGTGTCTACGCACGCACGTCTAATAACCACATGTCTAGGCGTGTGCAGGCATTGCACGCGCATTGCATGTGTAACAAGTACACGGTGAATGCACGTGCAGTGGACGCGAAGCAAGTACACGGTGATGGTTGCACATGTAATGTACACGTATCAAGTACGCAGTGAATGCAGTGTGTGCGTGTTCGCTGATACGTTTCACCCCTCATACACACACACACACACACACACACACACGCACATGCGTACACGCACACACGCACGCACACACACACACACACACAGCCGCTACTACAATTGCTACAACTGTCACTATCTCTGATCTACATGTTTATCCACTTAGGTGTTGACAACAGCCTGTCAAGGTTCATAATGCACTGCCTGAAATGCTGTTTCTGGTGTTTGGAGAAATTCTTACGCTACATGAACCGTAATGCTTATATCATGGTGAGTTGGTCAAGAGTGCTTTCTAGTATGAATAATATGAATAGCAGCTATCCACTATTAATTAAGTCAACAAGTTTATGTTGTTGTGATAGCTGTTTTCGCCTCATCTCCACCAGGTGGCAATCTATGGCAAAAACTTTTGTACTTCAGCCAGAGAAGCCTTCTTCCTACTGATGAGGAATATGGTCAGGTAAGAAGGCTTAGCACTCTACAAACTGTTCAGTGGTCCTCTAATTCTCTCTGGGCCTTTAAAACGTCTGTGTTCACTGTTTTTATGGAAATACATTTTTTCGATGTTATTACAGATTTTAGAAGAGATAAATATGCCACGTTAATACATATCCTGTGTATGACACAGGCCCCATGGTTTATGCAGAATACAGCATATAGCCAGTCAACTGAATAACATCAAATCAATACAGGTACATTGCCAGAAGTTAAAAAGTTTTTGCTTAGCCTGTACTGTTAGCAAATTTGGAAATCCTAGGATAGCGAAGGAATGATCTGCCCTACACTCCTTATGACTGACTAATACTACTACAGGGGGAATGGGATTAGTCAGGGTTAGGGTAAGCATATCAGGGTAGAGGTCCTGACACACCAAGCCGATGGTTGACTGTAGGAGTGTGCCCGAATACAAATACGTTATTTGTATAGGCACGAATAATGCCTTTGAAACAGATATATTTTCTATACAAATATACCAGTTATTATTCGGATGGGAAAAAACATGCGCGTCATGCACTTTTTTTTTTGGTCATGTGGTTGACAATCACCGCGCATATCAAACAAATCAAACACTGGCTATGCCTGCTTACAGTGAGACGGTAAGACACATTTTCACTCACCCTTTTTCTGCCAGATAGCCTAAAGTTGAACGGTCATCAAAGCAGCAAGTTCCTTAATCCTGTGTAGGCCTAATGTTAGCTGGTCTTTCTTTGGTAGGTATGGAGTTGAAAGCGCGTTCCACCGGCAGATGTTATATCCAATTACCCGAAGTCGTCCATGAGGACCCTATTGTAATCGCGCTGTTTATTATTAGGGCCCAAGCAGGTCTCAACCCGCGAGGTCCCTATTTTTTTTTGAATGATTATTATTAGGGCCCGAGCAGGAGACCTGCGAGATCCCTATTGTTTTTCGAATGATTATTATTAGGGCCCGAGCAGGAGACCTGTGAGGTCCCTATTGTTTTTCGAATGATTATTT